TGCCACGTTAATATTTTTTTAAAATCATTAAAATAAAAAATCTAATTTATTATACTAAAAATCAGATCAGTATTTTTTTCTTGAGGTTTCCAATACAGGTGTTTTCCCAATTTTTAGTGTTAATGTCCACTGCTATTTTATTTTACTTGGTGAGGACAAGTCATGACAATGGTTGTCCCAGACTGACAGGTATTCATGTACCTCCTACTCCCATGAACCACAAAAACATATTAATATCTGCCTTCAATACCACTAAAAGTCCACAGATGACCCAACACACCTGACATTTAAATTCTAGCTGGGTTTCCATTCCCTTTTTTAGTACCAGGGAAGGAAAAGTTACTTCAGGAGATGTTCCTCAAGTTTATTGCCTCCGCAAATTCCAGCCTTTGGAGCGCACGTGCCTCTGGTTGCAAGCCTGAGAAAATTCCCTAATTATGACTTTCAGTTGGCATGTAACCTCACATGCAATTTTTAAACGGGGTGTGAGTTCCCACCTGTCTCCAGGTTTTTTTTTGTGACCTCCTCTGAGTACCAGCCGTAAATTATATTCTAAAGAAACAGGGAAGGAAGCTGAAGTGGGAATCTGTGGAGACAACATCCTCAAAGATCCTCAATTACCTGCTATCTTTTAATCTTTGAGAATTGCCTCCATCCGATCTCAGCCTTTGGGAAATTATCAAACCTGGCAGTGTTTACAACTCGGCTTCAAGGTTAACAACGACACTCACCCCGTTCTCTCCTAACACCCCAATGTCACGTCAGGAGAGGGAAGCCACGGAAAGAGAAAACTAAAAGGTGGAAAATCCAGACCAATACAAGTTTTCTTTCCACACTCCAGGTAATTAAGCAGCTGATCTTGCTGTCAAGAAACTCTTTCAAACCGGGAACTTGTAGTGCTCTGACAGGATGTAGGATATGAAGGAGAGCGGCAGGAACAGACAGAACCGTGGCATTGATTACAAGGCAGGTTTGAAATATTAAAATCCAGTTTTGTTGTCAGGAATTTTTTGAAGGTTTTTAAACCCTCCACGACAATCGAGCTGCCTTTTCAATCTTATTTATGTGATTTATTTTTATTAAGTGTGGAGATGAAATTTAAAGTGTAGGTGGAGTATGTAGGTTCCCACAGTGAACTGACGTAGATCAGTGACAACTGACAGCCCAGGGGTGACAAACACATCAAAAGGAAGTTCATACAAACGCCCCTAGAAAAATAATGCTCCTGTTTAAATAACAGATACCCTGGAGGGATTTTAAAGCCATGTGGCACTTGGGGACACGGGTTAGGGGTGGCCTTGGCAGTGCTGGGGGAATGGTTGGACTCAATGGTCTTAGAGGACTTTTCCAACATAAATGACTCCATGAGACTATATCATCAACAGTCAGCTCTCCCTATTTAAACAAGGTTTAAAGTACTTATTTCTTCTTTACCCCTCCTTCAAAAGCACTTGACAAATTACCTTTCAAATATGTTTGTAGATATAAAAATATATAAATATATATCTCCCTGGCAACTTGTAAACGCAGGTACAGTCATGGATAATTTTATGAGCATGACAACCTCTGCTTCCTGACTTTATGTCCCGTTCTCTTCTTTCTTTCCTTAAAAAATGGGCCCAGATCAAAAATTAAAAAAATTTACAATGCAGAAAAGTTGGCATTGAACTTGTCCTGCCGTGTTTCCTTTTTTTTTAGATTTGTGTTGCCACACAACCAACTGTGAAGATGTAACACTAGAGAAATCATGAGATTTGAAGTTTTTCTAGGGAAGAAATTTCCTAGAGAAAAGAGAAGTCTTGTTTCTTTGGGTGACCCTTCAGTTAAAAGCTTCTTCCAGGGAAGTTCATCAGCAAAACTTCTGAGAAAGATTTACAATGTCACATATTTTGAGTAGAAAATACAGTTGCCCACACAATACATCTTTATAAATGAATTCATGTTAAATATCAACATGAATTCATGTTAAATTTCATGTTAAATATCAGTTCTACAAAAGAGCTCTAAAGGAAATCTACTCTGGAAACATTCTGAATCGAGAGCAAAGCCAAAGTCTGTGTGTTCTACAGTGCTCTCACAACCAAATCCAGGTTTGGATCAAATCCATCAGCCACTTACCTTGTTCTCCTGCTGGTTTTTCTGGACCACACCACTTATTAGTATCAGAAAATATTCCTCAGTGTATCCTTGATTTCCCAGCCATGGCATTTGGGCAGGTGCTTACACAGAGATCATTCTCATTTTATGGGAGATGGTAGAACTTTGCTTTCCTCCAAGATTTGAGGGTTAAAGTTTTAGGGTTGCCATGGTTGGGAAACAGTTTTTTTGAAGAAAAAAACCAAACCAACCAACCAAAACCCAACCAACCAAAAACCAACAACAATAAAAACCCACAACAATAAAAACCCAACAAGAAAAGAAAAAAACAAACAAACAAAAAACAACCACAAAACATACTCCACTTTCCACTTCTCAGGTGCTTTATATTGCTTGGGTCAGTTTTTATTAATATTCTCCCCCCCCAGTTTATTTTTCCCCTTCTGTGTTTTACTCAAAATCATGGTTTCTGTTTCTTCTGAGAATGAAGCACATAGAAAACTAATCTTCAAATCCTATTGAAAACCAAAATATTTTTCAGTTTACCCACAAAACACTAGTTTAAAATACTCTTTAAAGACTTTACTGTAACAGAAAATAAACACATCCAAACTGGCCTTGGACACTTCCAGGGATGGGGCAGCCACAGCTTCTCTGGGCAACCTGTGCCAGGGCCTCACCACCCTCACAGCCAACAATTCCTTCCCAATATCCCATCTAGCCCTGCCCTCGGACAGTGGGAAGCCATTCCCCCTTGTCCTGTCCCTCCAGGCACTTGTCCAAAGTCCTTCTCCAGCTCTCCTGGAGCCCCTTTAAGCACTGGAAGGGGCTCTCAGGTCTCTCTGGAGCCTTCTCTGCTCCAAGTGAACCTCCCTAGCTCTCCCAGCCTGTCTTCATTGCAAAAGTGAGGAAAAAAAGACCCTTTTGTAGAGTAAGAGGAAATTGGAGGAGTTGCTTATCCTGCTGGGATTTAGCATAAATATAGATCCAATAAAAGAGGCACAATTCCAAAAAACCCTTAAGAACAGCCCAGAAGTCCTGATTCAGGTGCTGTTGTGACAAGATGCACAAAACCTCGTGACCTGAAAGTTGGGGAAAAAAAAAAAAATCACCAATCCTGTGCCACAGGACAATGAAACATTTGGGGTAAAGATGTTCCTCATACTTGGAGGCTGAAATCAAAGATGGAGAAAAGAATTCTCAGTCCTAAAGTGATAACCAAGGGCTGACTTGGGTCACAAGGAACATTTTGAATTTAGTACTGGGTCAAGAGGGATATTCCATCCACTGGTCCTGGTCAGTGGAAAGTCCAACTGGGGCCCCTCACTGCAAGGACATCGAGGGGCTGAAGTGTGTCCAGAGAAGGGAATGGAGCTGGGGAAGGGGCTGGAGCAGCAGGAGCAGCTGAGGGAGCTTGGGGGGGCTCAGCCTGGAGAAAAGGAGGCTCAGGGGGGATCTTCTTGCTCTCTGCAACTCCCTGACAGGAGGGGGGAGCCGGGGGGGGGTGTGGTGTGTCTGGCTCTGCTCCCAGGGAACAAGGGAGAGGAGGAAACGGCCTCAAGTTGTGCCAGGGGAGGTTTAGGTTGGATATTGCAAATATTTCTTCATGGAAAGAGCTGTCCAGCCCTGGCACAGCTGCCCAGGGCAGAGGGGGCATCCCTGGAAATGCTCAAAAAACACATGTGAATGTGGCACTTGAGGACATGGTGGTGGTGCTGGGNCTCTCTTGCCTCCTCTCCACGCCGGTGTGCTGTCTCTGTACCAGCCATGGGACCACGTGGGTGCTGGGGGGAGGGGAGGGCACCTCTCCCCTCCAGGCTTGGGGCCTGAAAAACCCTGTCGCTGGAGCTCCCTTTCCCCATCCCCTCAAGACGTCGGAATGGTTCTTCAGATGGAGATGGAACTAGAACTGGGCTCCCCCACGCTGTGGGTGGGGAAAGGGATCCCAGAAGGCACAATTCCAAAAAACCCTTAAGAACAGCCCAGAAGTCCTGATTCAGCTGCTGTTGTGACAAGATCCACAAAACCTTGTGACCTCAAAGTTGGGGAAAAGAAAAAATCACCAATCCTGTGCCACAGGACAACGAAACATTTGGGGTAAAGATGTTCCTCATACTTGGAGGCTGAAATCGAAGATGGAGAAAAGAATTCTCAGTCCTAAAGTGATAACCAAGGGCTGACTTGGGTCACAAGGAACATTTTGAATTTAGTACTGGGTCAAGAGGGATATTCCATCCACTGGTCCTGGTCAGTGGAAAGTCCAACTGGGGCCCCTCACTGCAAGGACATCGAGGGGCTGAAGTGTGTCCAGAGAAGGGAATGGAGCTGGGGAAGGGGCTGGAGCAGCAGGAGCAGCTGAGGGAGCTTGGGGGGGCTCAGCCTGGAGAAAAGGAGGCTCAGGGGGGATCTTCTTGCTCTCTGCAACTCCCTGACAGGAGGGGGGAGCCGGGGGGGGGTGTGGTGTGTCTGGCTCTGCTCCCAGGGAACAAGGGAGAGGAGGAAACGGCCTCAAGTTGTGCCAGGGGAGGTTTAGGTTGGATATTGCAAATATTTCTTCATGGAAAGAGCTGTCCAGCCCTGGCACAGCTGCCCAGGGCAGAGGGGGCATCCCTGGAAATGCTCAAAAAACACATGTGAATGTGGCACTTGAGGACATGGTGGTGGTGCTGGGGAACAGCTGGACTTGATTTTAGAGATCTTTTCTAATCTTAACAATTCTATGATTCCAACTGTAGGAACATCCCTAACTCCTCACAGACCACAGAAACTTCCAGGATTTTAATTCAGGTCTAAAAACTCCCCAGAAGTTCCATGTCCAGGCTGAATTTTCTCTTTCTACATTTAACAAATTAACAAGAAGCCACCAGCCTCAAAGACAAATTACCCATAAAAGATCCTAAAAACCATCTCCAAACCACACCAGAGAGAAGGAATTTTTGAAATAAACCTGAGAGAAGACAGTAGTAATTATACATTCTTAACTACTCATAGGAACACCAAACACACAAGTCCCAAATTGTTTACAAGTTTAATGACTTGCAAATCTCCACTTTTCAGTAAAAAAACCTTAATTTTTAAAGAAAAAAATTATCAAAATTTCAGTATAATAGTTCTAATACACCTATAGTTTTTTTAAAGAATATTTACAGAGCTCTAATGAAAAATAAAACTTAAGCATATGAAAATTCAAGCAGAAAATAGCTTCACCTGGCAGTAATATGGCTTCCTGATTGCTGTACTAATTAATAGAAAAATTGGATAAATACTGGTCTAACAAGATGTATTTTTATGTTTGCAGCTTTGCACAAGCACCCCTGGTTCAGGAACCACCACACATAGAAAAAGCTGTTAAAAAAACACAGTAAGAAACACATTTTATAAAGGAATGACTGAATTATCAAAATCTGAGCTTAAAATCTGAGTGCAAATCAATTCACATTGAAAAAAAAAAACCTGGAATTTGAATGACTGAATTGATTTAAAAACTGGTTCTGGGACTCTTAAAACTATTTCCTTGTTCTTGTGCTGGATCTTGTCTTCCTGTCCATGACTCCAGAGGTCTGAGCTGCCCTCACATTCTCTTTCCCAAGTTCTTCCTTAGTTTTGTTCCTTTTTCCTTTTCCCAGCGATCCATTTTCAGCATTCCCTATTTATACACAGAAAAATTAACTGTAAAGTTGTATCACCAACCAAACAATTCACACAGAATTTGATCTTCACTTCCACTGTTTTTAAGGGAAATATACCTACTGACAACATTCCAAAGATTACATCTCTGAATCCAACAAACCAGATACAAACCCAATTCTTCTGCACATCCAATATCCTTTAAGTTGCATCCCTGAGGATTTACAGCTATTTCTGAAAGTAGGTTAACATTAATGAGAGCACCAAAACCAATTAGCTGCCATTTGAGGTAAAATTCCTTCCACTGAAATGTAAAACTAAAACATCACCAACACCCAAGGAAAGTCCTGCAAACATGAAAATCTAAGTTTTATGGCAGGAAATTCCTCAATATGGAGCTCCAAAGAGTCGCTGTCATTTCTATTTCAACATTTGTTTGATAATATTTGTATCACGGTAGTTTTTAAGCTATATCACATTAAGCTGAAAGTTCCAGGGTATACTTCAGGTGGCCAAAAGGAGCAGGGAAGTGATTGTGTTGAGCTGGTGAGGCACCTCAAGTGCTTTGTACAGGTTTGGGCCACTCACAAGAAGACACTGAGGGGCTGGAGTGTGTTCTGAGAAGGGAAGGGAGCTGGGGAAGAGTCTGGAGCACCAGGAGTGGCTGAGGGAGCTGGGATCTTTGAGATCTTTTCCAACCTGAATGGTTCTGATTCAATGATCAAATTATTTCAGCCCACAGAGCTTTGCACATATTATTGCTGTATCTGCACATAACTTTGCCACCCTTAGAAAAGAGAAAGCAAATTCTCACTCACCTGATTTTAGTTTTTTGGGTGCTGAATCATCTGCTGGCAGCTGACACTTCCTTCTGCGAGAAGTGGACATTACCTGTGGCACAGGGTTCCCCTCCTTTCCTTTTCCAGACTGATTCCTGCCCTCACAACCAGTGGATGTCACACACAAATTCTCAGTTTCCAGAGCATTTCCATTTTCAGGCGACTCACTGTTTTCATGGAGAGAAGTAGAAGTAGCTGCCTCTGATGTGAATTGTACCGCCCTCCTGTTATTCCTCACTTGCCTTGTTCTTCCCTGGCATGAATTATTTTCTGGAGGTGTAGCTTCAGCTTCTTTAAGAATCCTCTTTTGCCCTCTGCCTTTGGGCAGGCTGGGCTTTTCCCTGAGAGAAGTAGAAGTTGTTTCTTCAGATGTGGAAGAAGTTGTTTTCTTTCTGCTCACTCTTGATAGATTTTCTTTTGCAGGTGAAGCTCCTTCCAAAAGTTTGCTCTCCTGTTCCTCAGGAGCTCCATCCTTACTATCTTCTGGCAAACCTTGAAGTGAGGTGGAACTACCAGCCACTGAAGCGCTTGTTTGCCTCGAGTTCTCTTTTGAAAGATCCCTGTTTTCTTGGGAAGAATTCTCCAAACTCACTTTTTTTGCTTCCCTATAGTTATTCTTCCTACCACTTAGTTTTGATGGGACCTGTTCCCCCTGATTAGGGCTTGTGGCTTCTTTGAGGGCAATTTCTTTCCTCCTGCTTTTTCTCAGTTGATTTTCTTTTACAGATGAATCATCAGTTTTTAAGGGAATGTTTTGCTCTATTTTGGGTGTGTCTTCCCTACCATTATCTGCTGGCAAACCACGTTTCCCTCTAAGAGGAATAGGATTTGTTGTGTGTGATGCCAGTGCAGTTTCTTTCCTCCTGCCCCTTCCTAATGGTTTCTCTTCTGCACAGGACACTGTTTCCAAAGACACACTTTGTTCTTCATTAGCTCCCCCATCTTTAGCATCAGTCTCTGACAAACCACATTTTCTCTGGAGAGGAGCTGAACTTTTTGCCTCTGCTGCAAGATCAATCTTCTTCCTTCTGTCCCTTGCTGATGCATTTGCTTTTACCTGAGAAGTTTTATTTCCCAAAGCTGGATTTTCATCTTCCCTCACAGTCATCTTTTTATCACCTCCTTCCAGCAACCCACGTCTCGTTCTGACAGAAGGAGATCTCGATGTCTGTGATGCTGCACCAACCTCTTGCCTTCTCCCTCGTCTCGGTGGATTGGCTTCTACTGAACAGGGAGCACCTTCCAGAGCTGCATCTTGCTCCTTCACAAAAGCCTCATCTTCACTGTGATCTGCAGTTAATGTTTGTTTTTCCATAAAGGTAGGACTGGCTGTTTGTGGAATGGAATAAACTTGCTTTCTTCTGCCCCTCCTCACTCGTGAAGGATTTTCCAAATTCTCATGTTGACTGTTGTCAGTCATTCCTTCAGCATCCCCTGGTAAACTGCTTTTTATTTCAACCTCTTTGGAACTGCCTTCTCCAAGTTCAAAATTAACTTTTTTACCTCTTCTAAACACTGCTCTGTTTCTTTGTGCTGGATTCTCCTGTAGGATTTCAGTTTGCTTTGCTTTAAGTATTCCCTGTTGGTTTCTTGCCTGTTTTTGATGGCCAGGAGCAAGACTGTCACTGTTTGCAGCAGGTACTGACATGGCAGCTGGGCTGTTCTGGTCCTTTGTGACTTGGGATGTGTTCTTGACACAAACAGAGCCCAAAGAATCTTTTAGAGATTCATCTGCTTCTGTGTCTGACCTAAACTTAGAAGGAATTAGTTTTAGGTTGCTCCCATCTTCAGTAAATTCCTCAGTTTTTTGCTCCCAAGAGTCTTTTTTGCCTCTCCTGCTCCTCGTCCCGTTTGTTTCCTGTGCTGCCCTTCTGTTTGCTTCCAAGTTCACAGCAGTGACTGGCAGTTTGTTTGTCTCCCCACATGGTGACTCTGCCTTTAATCTTTGAGATGCCTCTGTTGTAATTTCCTGAGCATTTTCTGTTTCATATCCCTGAGATACTTCCATCTCATTCTTGATGTGTGGTTGTGCTTCAGTTTGATTTGATGTTTCCTCAGTTTTCTGAATGTTCTGTGTGACCCCACAAGTGTCTGCTTTTCCTTCAGCTGAGTGCTTTCTGTTTCTAGTACTTCTTAAAGACCTAACTCTTTTCTCTGTTACCTGTACTTCAAGTTCTGTCCCCTTTTCAGGTTCTTCTGCTGTGACAGCCTCAGGATCCTTGTCAAAAGTCTGTTCATCTCTTTGTAGGACCTTTGCTGGTGGGTCTTTACGAAGCCTCCTTGTTGTTCCATGAAGTTCTGCTGAAGGATCTTGTTTAACTTGGTCATTTCGAGCCCTTCGTCCTCTTTTAGGTGGAATTGGTGGTTCTGTGTTTTCTACTCCTCTGGTCCTCTTCCTGGGTGACAGAAGCACTTCTTCACTGTCTTCTATACCACTGTCATTAGATTTGCTATCAGATTTATTTACATCTGTTTGCAGCTGACAATTTTCCTTCTGAATGCTACCAGATCCTGTCTTTTTGGCTGGATCATCTCCACTTTCTAACATGTCATCGACCCCACACTCCTGTAAAGGCTGTTTCATATTTGCAGGCTCTTCTGGTAGCACTGAAGAACCTTCAACACAAGACTCAAGAGTCTCACTTGGATGTTTCAACTCCTTCAGTTCTCTCCTTTTACCTCTTCCTGGTCTTTGAGTAGCTCCATGTGGTTCCTGATCAGGGTGCTTTGAAACAACTTCTTGTAGGCAACGCTTTGTTCTCCTTCCTCTTCCTTTGTTTTCAGGTGTGATTGCTCCCATCTCCTCTTGGGTGCTGGAGGTATCCAGACTTTGCAATTCTTTTAAATTCACATCCTTTTCACTCTGCTTTGCCGCAGCAGGATGGACAGTCTTCCTTGGCCTGCCCCTTCTTCGTCTCTGGGGAGACTGGCCTGCACTATTTGATTCCTTTTGTGGAGAATCTTCACCTTGGGAAGTATTTCCTTTATTTTCTAGAACAGGGCAAAGAGCACAAAGAAAAGTTAGACATTATTATGCCTGATCAAAGTATCTGTGAGTTTCCATTTTCCTGACTGTTAGGAAAATGGAAACTCACAGGTACTTTCTCAAACAAATCACACAATATCTTAATTTAAAAATAAATATTTTAACCAATTCCTACATGAAAAGACCAGGCTTCTGATCAAAGTTCTCTGGTTTATTTGGTAGGCATCATTCATTACTTTCAACTATGCTCTTTAAAGTCTTTGCAAAGATAATCTGAAGTGGAAACCTTAACATCAGTTTTTTCACACTAATATGTTCACCTGTCTCCAAGGGAAAAAGGGATCTTAGCTCAGGAATTAGCAGAACTCACTGAGAGCTTTAAACAAGATTTAAACTTCGTGGTAACATGTATTACTTTTTACGTTCATTCTTCTTCTAAACAAAGTGTACTCACCACATTTCTGACTGGAATTACAACAAGGAGGTGCAGAATCTTGCTGAGAATCCATTACTGATCTGACCTAAGGGAATAAACAATAATCAATAAATGCCTGTCTGACAGGACAGGAAATTATAGAGCCAACCAGTACAAAATGTATAGTAACACTTGTAAAAATTCTTGGCAAATCCTTTTCCCTAAAAATGAAATCAACTAATTTTATAACTCCATCTATGTATCTGACAAAAGCACACAAATGTAGCAAACAATTCTTGCCATCTAAAGTGGTGTAGCAGTTTTTAAAATGAAAGACAACAAACACTGCAGAGTTAAAAAGTGACATTAACTCTATTGGTTGACAAGTGTCTAAATGAGTGCTCAAAGGAAATTGGGGTATTGAAGAAAAATTGAGTGTTTTGCAGTGTTTTATTGTAGTTCTAAGCACTAAGTACAGTGATACTCAACATTTTATCTACAGAACACGAAAATCAGCACCAATAAAATTCACAAATGACACAAGTGATGAAGCTGTGAATTGTAAGGTCAGAACGGTCACTCAGAGCAACCTCAGGAGCTACTTACACAGGGCCCCCTCAAAGAAAATAGATGTTAACACAGGCAAAGGCAGCTGTCTATAAAATGCTCCAAGATACATGAAGTCATATTAGGAGGCCTAAGAATTCATTTCAGCCACAGGCTTCAAAGTCTAAACACATTCCTTCCAAAAGGTAAGGAAAGGATTTTACCTCCATTTCCTCTGGTGTATCAAACATTTCTGTCATTCCAGCATAGTCCACTTCACCATCAGAAGGTTTCTGCCTGGGCTCTGCCATGAGCCTTTGCAGCCCCACAAAATCCTCAACTGGTTGATTCTTCTGTCTGGGAGACTTCACCAATCTGCTGATACCAAACATGTTTTCTATGGGTTGAACCTTTTCCTTTGGTGTCTTGAAAATGCGGCTGATCCCAATCATGTCTTCAACTGCTGGGTATTTCTGTTTTGGGGTTTTCTGGACTGAAGTAACACCTGCCCTGCCTTTTACTGCTCCCCTCTTCTGTACTGGAGTCTTCAGCAACCTTTTAAGGGCAATTTCATCTGTAACTGGTTCTGGCTCTTGCTGTGGGGTCCTCATGAGCTGCCTAATGCCAGACAGGTCCTCCACTGGTTCTGGCTTCCGCCGCGGGGTCCTCAGCAGTTCCTTGATGCCTGACAAAGCCTCTGCAGGCTCCAATTTCTCTTTTGGGGTCCTCATGAGCTGCCTGATGCCTGACAAAGCCTCTGCAGGCTCCAATTCCTGCTTCGGGGTCCTCATGAGCCGCCTGATACCTGACAAAGCCTCTGCAGGCTCCAATTTCTCTTTTGGGGTCCTCATGAGCTGCCTGATGCCTGACAAAGCCTCTGCAGGCTCTGTGTTCTGTTTTGGGGTCCTCATGAGCCGCTTGATGCCTGACAAAGCCTCTGCAGGCTCCAATTTCTGTTTTGGGGTCCTCATGAGCCGCTTGATGCCTGACAAAGCCTCTGCAGGCTCCAATTTCTGTTTTGGGGTCTTCATGAGCTGCTTGATGCCTGACAAAGCCTCTGCAGGCTCCAATTTCTCTTTTGGGGTCCTCATGAGCTGCCTGATGCCTGACAAAGCCTCTGCAGGCTCCAATTCCTGCTTCGGGGTCCTCATGAGCCGCCTGATACCTGACAAAGCCTCTGCAGGCTCCAATTTCTCTTTTGGGGTCCTCATGAGCTGCCTGATGCCTGACAAAGCCTCTGCAGGCTCTGTGTTCTGCTTTGGGGTCTTCAAGAGCTGCTTGATGCCAGAAAAGAACTCTACTGCCTCTGACCCTTTCTCTGGGGTCCTTAAAAGCTGCTTGATGTCTGACATGACCTCAACTGGCTCCAACTTCTGCTTTGGAGTGCTTCTTTTCCTTCCTGATTTCACCAGAGATGCTTGTCTTTCTGGAATGATTGATAAACTATCCACATTAATATTATCTTCTTGCACAGATTTTCTTTTTTCAGGAGTTTTTGTGGATATTTCATCAAACACAGAGCTTAGAGATGACTTCTCTCTCAGCAAGTGACAAATGCCTGGACTCTCTTGTTTCTGTTCTGAAGCATCTGAATTATTTAAGGGTGACACCATCATCTCTCCTGTAATAAACAGTAGTTCAACAGTTAAATTTCATACCAATAGAATGAATAAGAAAATCGCCTACACAGAAATTAACTGGAACTACAAAATTTTCTTTTGATACATGATTAATATTAATGGTTTGGTTTATGGTTATGGATGCTTCATCTCTGTAAGGTGATAGATAGGACCACACAAAAGAAAAAGGCTTCTGATGGTTTCCTGGAAAAACCCTGCACCTGGGGAGACATTCTCAGAAACTGATAAAAGGATTAAAACGAAGAAAGGAGTGATATGGAGATAACACTGGTCTTTTTTTGCAAACTTCCTGGTTGCCAGGAACTCGGGAAGTGGACCTTCGGGCCTATTACTTCTATCACCCCAAAAATTAGTTATTGACTACAGACACTCAAACTTCCTAAAGAAAAAAGTATAAAGAGAGATTGGACATAAGCAAAAACTGGGGAGAAGTTCCATCAATGCTGTGGAGGTAACCGAAGGGCTGCCTTTTCTCCCTCCACCTTCTTGGGACGCTGTGGGGTGAGCAATTGCTTCACACCTATCCACTACTTCTACTTTTACTCCATACTACTTTAACATTTTTACTTACTACTTCATTGTAAGTTGCTTTTGCTTTAGCGTGTGTGCCTGTGCTTTGTATTATTATTATTACTACATAGTTCAAATGTGATTTTTTTGGCAGTTAGAGCCTATGCCAGACACAGTGAACCCCAGACATTGTCACAAACTTGTATTAATAAGCATGTTACTTCGTGAACTGTTCGAGTGAGTCCGTTTTTAGGTGCTGACAGTTTTGCCGACGCCGAAATAATTCATAGGAGAAACGTGAGGAGTTTTCCTACTGCTGTTCTGTGCAATGCTTTTGTAAATAGGTATCAAATGTCCTGTCTGTCTCAGTGAATCTGTTAAGCGAAGGGTCTCATTAGGTGAGAGGCTAACAGACTGCTTTGGACATTAAAAGGCTTTGATCTCCTAGGGGATGCTGACAGCCAAAAAAATAAATTAATACAGGTTGGACAGAAAATTCATCTTTTCTGCCCCTTTTCAAGTGACAATCTCAATACTTTAGGTCTGCCCAGGCTGGGACCACAGCTACCACACATTACACCCTAATTATCCCTTTTTTTAGATTACAAACATACCAGATTCTTCAGGGGTGTGCAAGTCAGAAATGTCCCCTGCAGCACAGGTTGGTGTAAAATCAGCACTCTGAGCAGCAGCCAAAGGTAATGTTTTTTCACTCTTATTTTCCGGAGTTTGAAACATTTCAGGCACTCCTAGAAATTGTATTTGGAGAAGTAAGCACATGTTTTGACACAAGAACTACACAAGTGGCAGAGTGAGCAAGAGACTAAAACCTCACCTGTGAAGCTTTCATCCATATTCATGTTGAGCTTCAGGACGGGATTTTTTACCACTTTAGGGACGCGTCCAGCTGATCTGAGTGTGGTGGAGTAAGCTCTACCTACAACTATTGTAGCAGGTGACTCAGCATGACCTGTGCTGAAGTGACCTTTTATTTTCCTCTCTGGAGTCTGCAGAGGCAATAGGAAACAGAAAAATAAGAGTTATTAAATAAAGATTCTTCTTGGCAGAAGAGGTGGCCAAGCCACTCTCCATCACTCATCATCAGTCCTGGTTAACCAGGGAGGTCCCACGTGACTGGAGGTTGTCCAGTGCCAGCTACAAGGGTTGGAAGGAGGACACAGGGAACTACAGGCCTATCAGCCTGATCCTGGCACTCGGGATGGTCCTAGAACAGATCAACTTCAGTGTGACCACATGGCACATACTGGACTACCAAGGAGCAGGCTCAGCCAGCTTGGGCTTAGAAAAAGAAGGTCCTGCCTGACCAACCTGACCTTTTATGACCAGGTGACCTGGCAAGTGGATGAAGGAAAGGCTGTGGATTTATCTACCTGGATCTCAGTGAAGTCTTTGACACCATCTCCCATAGCATTCCCCTGGAAAAGCTGCATCCCATGGCTTGGACAGGTGTGCTCCTCACTGGGTTAAGAACTGGTAGAACAGCTGGGCCCAGAGTGAGGAATGGTGCCATCTCCAGTTGGTGGCTGGTCACTAATGGGGTTCCCCAAGGATCAGTTTTGGGCACAATCCTGTTCAAGGCCTTTACTGAGGATCTTATTGCTCAAATGTTCAACTCAGTGATCCCAGAGGTCTTTTCCAACCTTAACGATTCTATGATTCCTTTTAAACAAAACTTACATTTCTTACATGCCATGACAAAGGCATCAACACCCACCAACATCCCAGCAAGAGCTCAGAAGCCTCCAGCTTCTGTAGCAAAATATATCCAAGCTGTTTGGTAGCCATGCAAGAAAACAAAGTGAGCATGAAAAAGGAAAAGAATACCTTTGGTGGCTGGTTTATCCTCTTTGGGGGTCTTCCTCTTCGGACACTTTTCTTAGAAGTCTTTGTCTGTGGTCTTGCAACACCCAATTTTACCACTTCTGCCCAAGATTTTGCAACTAGAAAGCAAGGGAGAAATAACCACTTTAACTCTCAGCTTTTTAAATGGAAGTTCACAATTATTTCTTCATGATTCCAATTGATTTTCTTTATGATTTTCCAATGCAGTCAGGCACAGGAAAGTGGTTGTTGTATCATCTGACACCACCAAAAGTGCTCTCTGAAATACTTCCAGTTAGAAAACCCCAATTTAACAAGTGGTCAAGTTTCCCCAGGATGACTTTCCACAACAAAACAATGAGCTCCACACAGTGTCAAAGAGATGTGAGATCCTGGAACCAAACACTGACCCAGTTCCATACTCACTCTTTTAGCAAGGAGAGAATTTTTCCCAAAAAAACTTGCCATGAGCCTTTCAGACTCATTCGTTATCCATGAGCTTTCCTCTGGTGAGATTTAACATCAGAGAAATGGTTTAGAAGTAGAGCATATCCAGCTTGTCTTTCACCACCTTCCTGAGGAATTTCATAGGCAGGAAACTGTATTTATACTGCTTAAAGCATTTAGATCTACACAGTTTTCATAATTTCTCTTGTATCACCTTCTCCTTATGACACATTCCAAAAATTCCCAGAGCGAGGTTACCTTTATCCCAGCATGATTCTGTACACAACAGAGGGATCAGGGAATTAGTTATAGCTGTGTAATAAATGAAGCTGGAAGTTTGTAGGATATCTGCCTCTTTTAATTCGGAAAAAAAAGCTGGGAGAAAACAGGGATCATACAAAAGAAATCAGTTATTTAAGTAAAAATAAAATGGGAATGCTGTTCCTAAATAAAAGGATATTACTATTGACCTGTCAGAATTGCTGTGTAAGTCTGTAAATGAAAGGAACTTCGAAAAGCTGTCATTGCAAAGGTGTTCTGGATGCAGAGAAAAATACCAAGCATCCAGGAAATTATCTGAAAAAGCACTGGAAACTAACCTTGCAAAAAGGATGCTAATTTTACCATGTCTCAACTTCTGAACGTTAAGGTTTGTGTTCTAAACATGAGTTAATAGATGTTTTAGTAAGTCTGCTTTATGAATACGAGAAAATGCAACATTTTGCACTTCCCAGTTGCTTCCAACAAGCCCAACAGTTGTCAGAAGACACATCAATCTCTTGGTGGCCTCTGCATAACAAAACAAGCCTACTTCAGTTTTGTTTCTGTATTTTAAAGCATTAAAATAGATATTTCAAAGCAGCTGCTGAAACAAACCTAATAAATTAGCACTGGAGGCACCACTTCTCTTTGCATGGAGAACTCCCACAGCCCCGCTCCTTCTCTTCGTGGAAGTGCCCTTCAAACCCACTTGGGCACTTCTGGTTAGTTTGGCAGGTGTAGCTGATGCAAAGGTTTTGTCATCTTGGTTAATGGGGGAAGACTGAGGTGTTTTCACTCTCACACCACTTTTCTCCCTTGCATTCAGGTCCTGTGCACCAGAATCCTTCTCCTCTGGGATTGGGAGCGGCACTGGGAGTTGGGAAATGGAGAAACGCCCTTTTCTGTAAGGGGCTGGAGAGCCTGAAGGAACTTGAGGTGCTGCCTTCCCTGAGGAAGGGGAGGAGGCAGCTGGGGACTTCTGGGCTGGCAAACTTCTTTGTGACATTTGTTCTTCCTGGTAAAAAAAAAAAAAACACACAAGAAAACCACCAACAAAGAATTAGCACATGGTGGATTTAGGGATTTTTTCCTTCTTTTTAATGGAGTAGTTTTTCAGCACATGTCCACTGAAGATCAAGTTGTCCACTGAAGATCAAGTTGTCCCCTGAAGGATTGCTTACCCTTCTCATAGAAGCAACCAGGGCCAGAAGGAACCAAATTGGGCACAGATATCAACAAGCTCAACCCACTGAGGGTTGAAACCCTCACTTCTTTCATCTGTAACAATCTCTGTGGTAACTCATAACTGCCCTTAAACCCAAATATCCATCACACTGAAACCAAGTATGGAAAGGGAAGGAGTGTAAGGTACTCACAACTGTAACAATGTATACTGGCACAATAAAAAACTAACTTAACCCTCACAATACATCCCACTACCTCCCAGGCTCCTGATAGGACTGGTGAAAGCTCCTCTCCACAGATTTCTAAGACTGGATCCTATGCCATCAAATCCACAGAAACAAGTGCTATTTAATCCTTAGTGGTCTCTCAAACCACTGGAATTATCAATGCAGAATAATAATTGAACCTGCCTGGTCAGCATTCCTGTCTCCATCCTCTGATGAGTCCTATGGAGGGACCCTCAGGTCTCTAAAAGGTTCAGGGAGAGATGGGACTGGTATCCGGGGGACTGGATCAGGAGGATTAAGTAGCATGGATATCCCATTAGTTAGTCCTTTTTATTCTTACCCTTTCCCACCTTTACCCTTTTTCCATGCCCGGCCTCCACTTGGATTGTTTTACATAGATTTCAGTTTCAAATTGATTGATTTTAATCTGATTTTTCTCCATGTGCTATAAGCATCCAGTAAATTGCAAAGTGACCTTGTCCATGAACTTTGCTGCATTTTCACTTCATAATAAACCTGCTTTTGCCAATGCCTTTGCTGGTGATTTTTTGAGTGTCCTAAAACACTCATTTGTGACACCAACATACATCAAACAAGGTTTGCTACTAATTTTGAAATAATTATAATAAATAGTAGAATAAAAAAAAAAGAATTTATAAGTTCTGTTCACAGTAATGGTCTTAGCAACTTGAGATGTCTTAAAGTTTACCTGGTCTGTGAAGAGCTTCAATCCCTGAGCCTTTTTCAGCACAGCACGAGGTGAGGTTCCATAGGGCAAGCTCAGCCTGGCAGGAAGAGCTCCTCTTTTAAGGGGAGAGTTGGGAGGCAAACTTTTATCAAAAAGTTCTGGACTCAGATGGCCACCAAAAGACACTCTCTTTCTTTTCCCTGAAGTCTGAAGGAGCAAATCATCACTTTTCCTCTTCTGAGACAACCTTTTTGTCTTGCCTAAAAAGTACAATTGAAAATAGTTCTATGTATCTAAGAATCCAAGTCAACATTTTAACCCACATGGAAAACTGTTTCCTTGTGCGTGTTGAAGTTAGAAATGAACCAGATGGGAACTTACCTTAAAGAGAAATAGATTTAATTGAGGAAACTTTAATTATGTTACAGAGTATTGTTATGATCAAATATAACTACATATTTTAGAACTAATGTCAGCAATTGGTTCTATATTTTATGTAAGTGTTAAAATTCTCAGAAAGGTGTTTTAAGAATTTCTCAATATAAAAACAAGGCAGTGGATGAAATGTATTTACCTGAGTCTTCTCCACCCAACAGGCCAGAAGTATTTGTTTCTGGGACAGCCTTGTTGTCTTCCAGCATAGGAGCACTTCCAGAACCTCTCTTTGCTGACAGCCCACGTGGTCTGATATCACCAGCATCTTCCAAGTCTTGTTTCTGGTGATGCCCCTCCATGGCCAGCTCTGCTGGAGTGCCACTCTCTTTTCTGTCTCTAGTCTTACCAGGATGCTCTTGCACAGTATTTGTCTCCAGTGCTGTTTCAGTCAGCATTCCAGAGCTCCTTGGCCTTCCCCTTTTCCTCTCAGAGCTCCTTGGCCTTCCCCTTTTCCTCTCAGAGCTCCTTGGCCTTCCCCTTTTCCTCTCAGAGCTCCTTGGCCTTCCCCTTTTCCTCCCAGAGCCAGGTGTCTGACCAGCAGGAGATGCCATTAACTCTTCCGAAGCCAGTGTCTCTGTATGGACACTTTTGTCTAAGAATTCTTTACTTTGCCTGCTATTTCTTCTAGGACTCTTGGAATTGGAGAAAGAAGAAGGACTTTCAGAAAGTCCCACCTCTGAGTTAAAGTTTGCCTGATCACTGATTTCCTTCAGCACTTCTTGTGCAGGTGTTCCTGATGGGCGTCCCTTGCTATTTCGTCTTTGCTTCATGGATTTGTTTTCTGGGAAAGGCAGTTGTGTGATGCCTGAACCTTCCCTTGGAGTTTCAGCTGGAATTTCTGACAGACACTTGGGTTTCAGTGACACACGCCAGCGCGTGGTTGGAGTATTAGCATTCACAGGATTCATTCCAGTGATTTCCTTGGAAGGAGACACAAAAGGAGACCGAGGGCTCTTCCTCCTGGGCCTTGGTGTGGACAGCACATGTTTATCTGCTTCAGAAACCTTTGGTGTGTGAGTCGTAGAGATGTGTATTTTTTCCCTAACTGAAGAATCCAAGCGTTCTATGGAGCACTGCTGCAGTGAAAACAGGGAATTCTCACCACTCTCCTTGCTGGGAGTAACCTTGGCACCTTTAGATGTGACTGGTGTACTCAGTTCCTCAGGATTCTGCAAGTGACTCTGACTGGTATCTCTCGATACCTCCTGCGAAAGAGAATTTTGAAGACTTCTGGGAAAACTCCTCCTGGGAGCACTTCCTCCAGCTGCCAGCTGCTGAAACCCTGAGTGGTTCACTTCACTTCTTACAATTACACATTCTTCCATATTTCCACTTCTGCCTCTTTCTTTTCCTTTATTCAGGCTGCCCAGATCACAACCTGGGGATGAAATCTGAGCACTTGGCTCTGGCACAACACTCTCCCCACCTTCTCTTGCAGCTTGTTGGGAGTCATTTCCCTTCTGCAGAGATTTTTTCGTTTGCATCTCACGTTTCAGCTTTTCATAGAGATTAGTAAAGGGAGACATCTCATTTTGCTTTTTAATAACTTGGTGTATTCTGTGTGAACGTTTGGGTGTTTTTGGTTTGACAGGTAAAGCTTTGGATACATTTTCCTCTGTGATTGGTTTATTTTCATTGGCAATTTTTTCTTCACATTCAGCATTATCTATAAAGGAAGCAAAGCAAAACAAAAAGTAATACAGAAAGTGACTTCAAAATTGCAGAACTACAAATATAAGTTCCATAAATACAGGTTAAAAATTCCTTCCATTCCTCTCCCAAGACAGTCAACAAGGGTCCACTGAAATGGAACACTTGGAAACAGCCTGGGCTTTTAAAACTGGAATATTTGTCATAAAAATCAAACCCATCTGTAGATAAAAAGCCTTCCCCAAAAAACTTTGTATCTTTACGAAGTTATTTAAGACAAGAAGGATGGGAAGGTAAAGTCCTGGCATTTAACCCCTTCATGGGCTATATCTACCAGACTTGGAAGCTCTAAATTTTTCTGGTTCTACATGAAGCAGTTACTGTAAACAATTACTTCAATATGTATATCCAAAATTATACTTATTTCAGTGTCTTATTAGGAAAGAATACTTGCTGAAAAGAGATCTAGCAGAGAACTGCAAGGTAAATTCTAATCAAAAAGGTGAATTTGTCACATGTTAAGCGTTTGCTGCCTCTGCAAAGTAAATGTAACAGGAAATTGTTTCAAATACTAGTTTCAACTCACATCTGTATTGCACTTGCAAAGCTGGTGAACTGACCTTCCTTTCCAAACTGAATGTGCATAAATCACTGAAAGTAATATCTGTGAATTTTGCCTATGCCAGGCTGTTCCTAACAATTTGTCAGGATGCAATCAAGTGATTTCTCCTGGTAGGATGTAGATTTGGGAAATCAGAGCATGTAGGTATAATGAGACAACCTCTGCCACAGCAAGGTGGTGTCAAATTCAAGAGTCTTAAAATGCCTTTTTTTTCTTCTTTTTAAGAAAGAAGAAACAAAACCCATAAAACAGGTACCAACCTGAAGCACCAAGACTTTTAGATCCTGAAGTTTGTTTGTGTAATAATTCCACTTCTGCCACCTGCTGAACATGAAGAACCTGTAAATTTGTACAATATTACAGCCCAGCAACAAGTATTTTACAGTTCAGCTTTTAACTGTACATTGAAAAACACTCTTTACAGAAGTATACACATTGTTTACTAAACAGGCTTAAAAGTATTCAAATGAAATCCCAGAGTATTTCAATATTTAAGAACATTGACCAATACGTTTGAGGTCCCAGAGCAGAAATTTGTCTTGTTTTAGCATTATTAGCTCTAAAAGCAGCTGTAGCATAAGAATATAAACCAGCACATTTCAACCTCCCCTTCTTAACAGACTTAGTGGAAGATTTATAGCTCTGCTTGCATTAGGAACATCATAGATCATTAATCATCTATTAGCAAAAACTGACAAGCCGAAAATCACTAAATTTTTTAAAGCACTTATCTGAAGGAGTTTATTTGTATTTTCAGATAGAAAGGTAGTTTAGGGCTGAAAAGTTACTCCTAATAAGAAAATAGAACAAAGAAATAAATTACTGCCTCGCTACTAATACCAGTGTACTTGCAACAAAAAAGCCCATGGCCACAAAATTACCTGCAGAGTTTCATCTTTTGGAGACCTGGAACGCCTCTTCTTCGGAGTTGACTGGAGAGGATATTCAAATCTGAAAGAAATATTTTGAAACACACCCATTTTTTGTCAAAGAGTTGATGACTAAATTCCCATTACTAAGATAAAAGACCGAGAAATAGTTTTCCCCTCCCAACAATACACAAGTCACTTTTAAAGGTTTTAAGAACTTAAAAATACTGCTAAATTTATCCCTAAAACTGACTACACTGGAAACAAAATCAAAACAATCTCTGAAGACAGTTTTATCTTTATTGATTTAGCTTAACATAAGTGATTAAAAAAACCCAGAATCTTCAAGCAATCCTGTCTTCTAACAAAGGTCTGTAAGACTTTGTAAAGAAATATGACATGAACTACATTAAGTTACGTTCTTGGATTAAGTAATAAACAAGTAAAGAAATATGAAATCAAGTGTAAAGAAATATGAAATAAATAAACTACATGAAGTTACATTCTTGGATCAATTAATGAACAGTCTGGCACTGGCACCCACCTGAAAGAACGATCGATAATAGTTAAGACATCCCCGTGCTTCAGAGGAACAGGCTGCTCAAAGCAAACCCCATTCAGCTGTGTGGGGTTTACTGCGCTCAAATTAGTCAGTACTGCCTGAAAACAGAACAAATATTTCAGTGGCCTGCTGAGATGCAACAAGGCAATGCTTATTCCATGAAAACACGCAGATCTTACCTCCTTGTTCTCATTTATTTCAATTTTACAGTGCTCGTTGGAGACCCAGGGCAGTCGCATGCGGATGTCACACTCTGTTTTCCTGGGGCGAAATACAGTTTGAGTTTCACACGAGACACAGAAAAATCTGCTCTAGAATTACAGGATTTCCCAATATTTTAGTTAATAATTGTACAGAAGTAGGATTTCTAAAACTGGAAGAAAATTAACTACCTCAAATGTTTGAAGTGTGACAAAAAATAGCAGCTCACACTTCAGAGAATCTGTGTCAGAAACAATATGTGAAATACCCAAACCTTCCAAAAAGCAGATCACAACAAGCAGAGACACGACTACAACAGACAGCTGGTGGTTTGAGATTGTTTCCCAAGTTTCCCCAAGACTTGTGGAATATTTCTATACAATATCAGCACATGCTTTTAAGCTCTGTCTTAGCCCTTTGTTACTGACCTGAGAACAGGTAGTTGGACCTTTGGCCTCACCTGGATAAGCACTTTTACCTTCTTAAAAGTTGTGAGGGAAGGAAAACATGTTTCTAAGTGTACAGAGTTTCCCTGTCTTTCCTTTTTTTTAAGCTAACCTCTATTGCTTTTGATGTGCTGTAGGTCTTAGGCAGGAAACATAACACCTACTGTGCACAATTCCTGGTGAAATGAGTGTACTTGGGGAAATTTGTACCTGCTTGAAATTAGTGTTTGCACCATTAATTATCACCTGTCTGGGCAGCTCTGCTCCCGCCAAAAAACAATATCATTGACACTGCAGTGCTTCTCACAGACTTTCACCATGGGATGAGATTCTGGACTGAATAATTACAATTATTTAAGGTAATATAATCAGTCAGTAAAGCACTGAACAGGTCTAGTTTAAGATAAATAAAAATATTTTACTTGCAGCCTATTTACAGTAAGATCACGATGATGATGATATAGTCAAGTCTTCAAACATCCTATTTGGGTACATTAATTTTATCTTTCAATGTAAAACGTGGATCAAACTCAAAACCCACTGTCACTCAAGTGAGCATGTCAAAGTTAGTTTCATGTCTGGAGAAGGAGGTATAAATTCTTAATACTAATTCTAGTTTTGGTTGACATCTTCCATTAGTGAGGTTCTGAAGTACAAAAAAGTAAATAAAATTTTATTTTCACTTGTCAGTTATCTGGAAACTGCCCCTAGGTAAGACAATCTCATCACCTGTTTATCAATCGTCGATTACTTTTAATCCCTTCCTCAGATTTCCTTTGGCCAGAAACTTAAAATAAACAAACAGATAGACAGACAGACAGATAGATAAAAGGAGTTCTGGCAAGGAAAGGACAAAAAACAATAACAAAAAAAGAAGTTCAGCTTTCTGGTCCTACAATTAATTAGTTCAGGATCACCTTCCCTCTCTCCCCTGTGCATCATTCACAAATAAACATTTATTTTTGCAAATAAGTATTAAAAGATCTAATCTGCAGGAAAACATCACTCATTATTTCGATGTGTCCAAGTGCTCAACAAATTCTCACCTTCCGAATAAACAAGAAGTCGAGGTGAGTGGAAAAACAATTCCATCGGTCCCATTCCTTTTAATGACAATAATTTTCCCGTAGCGCGGCATCTTGGAATGTAGGGAACCTTACCTGGAAAAGAACATCCAGATTATTCATCCCAATAACGTTTTATGAGAGTAAATTGATGTACATTTTTATGTTATTTTCGTTCAACATACTCCAATGGACAGAAGAACCTCAGTGCTGTTTCCATGTGTCTCTGTGTGTAGAAAACTGGGAATATGTTTATGTAAAGTCAGACTATTTTACTTATTTAAGAAGTATTTGCTACCCACCAGAGCCCTTGAAGCAGAAGGAGGAGGAGTGGATTTTAACTGATTTAAACCCATCTGCACAACCAGATACACTTGTTATATACTTTCAGGTAACCTGCGTTATTTCACGTATAGATATGAGAGTGTCACGAAGCACAAGCGATCCTCAAAGGAGCCTGTATAAAAATACTCTACATTGAAAGCAGCAAGGGAATTAAGGGCAGTTAAGAGAGACCCTTCTGGAATTTTTTGCTCGGTTAAAACACTTGTTGACAGCAAGCCCCAGGTTGGGGGGAGCCTGACAGTGCCCTCAGGAGTCCCCTTTGCCTGTGCCTTGCGGGGAACGACAATATTCGCTGTCCTGCACTCAGAGCACCCTGTTCACAGCACCCACCGCTTCCTACAAGCCAAAATTTACAAGCCCGGGCTCCGGGCGGCCACAGCCACCAGCGGGGACACATAAACACCGAGGAAGGGAGGAATAAACCCCCAGGAGGGGCCAATAGCCATCATGGCGAGGTAGGCAGCCACCGAGCAGAGAGTGTCCTGCGGACCGACCCCCCCCCCCCCCCCCCCCCCCGCCCCAAAGGCGGTCTCCCCCCCGCCCCTCACCTTCTGGCCCTGCCGTACCTGGTTCGCTCGGAGCGCTGGCGGCCGCTGAGGGCCCTGTGTGGCGGAGCCTCCCCCTTCCCCCTCTCCCGTCACGGCGCGGCCCCGACTGAGCCCTTCCCGCGCGCGCACCAGCCCCTGTGCCCTTTCCCCCCATCGTATTTTGTCGGTGTATCCCTCCGCCGCGCACCAAAACGGAGCCCCCGGGAGCCGCGCAGGCGGACCGAAGCGGGAGCCGCCGCCGCCGCTCTCACCTGCCGGCGGCCGCCGTGGCTGAGAGACCGCCCCGAGCCCGCCCGTCCGCGACAGGCGGCACCGGGCCCCCGGACTCTTTTAGCTTTGCCCGGTGCCCGACGAGCGGAAGGAGAAACGAACCCAGCTGATGACGGTTGAGATTTTGAAAAGGAGCGCGGTGGCCTCTGATTGGTGGAAGGGGCGGCGCGCGACGCGCGGCGGAACCAATGGGGAGCGGCGGAGGCGGTTTGAGTTCAAACGGAGGCTCCGCCCCCCGGGGCCGCTCCCGCCTCAGGGCGGGGAAAGCAGCGCTGAGGGGCCTCCGGAGCACCCTCACGGCGGGGTAGAGCTGAACCTGGACCTGTACATAAACCTGCAGTTGTCCCTGAGCCCGTACCTGTTCATGAGCCTCCACCTACATTTGTACCTGTGCCCGAACCTATTCGCGAACCTGTGCTTCTACCTGTGCCTGTACCTGAACCTGAACCTGCGCTTGCCTCTGTGCCTCTACATGAACATGTACCCATATTAGTACCTGTATTTGTGCTTGTACATGAACCTGTACCTGCACCTGTACCTCTATCTGTGCCTGTATCTGAACTTGTAAATGAAACATGTTCCTCTACCTGAACCTGCACCTTTGCCTGTGCCTATACTTGTACCTGAACCTGAATCTGTACCTGTACCTCTACCTGTGCCCATACCTATGCCTGTACCTGAACCTGTGCTCACACACGTACCTGTAGCTGTACCTATGCCTGTACCTGAGCCTGTGCCTATACCCTCCCTGCTACCTGAACCTGTACCCGAATCTGTACCTGTATCTGCATCTGTACGTGCATCTCTACTTGTATCTGTTCCTGAACCTGACTCTGAACCTAAGCCTAAACTTGTATTTGTATGTTTACCTGTATGTGAACCTCTGCCCATACCTGAACCTAAACCTGTATCTGAACCTGTGCCTGTACCTCTACCTGTGCCCATACTTGAATCTGTAATAACAATAACAACAATAAGAATAATAAAAACAATGACAATAACAATAATAAAACTACATGTTATTGAGATATGCAATCTGGTGACCTTAATTCCAACTTAAAGTTCTGTGCATGTGTGAGGGAAAGAGATACAGGGGGAAAAAGGTCATCCAGCCTTTTGTGCTTCAGGGGATAAAATTCCCCTAACCAGTTTTTCCCAAAGCAGAACTCTTGATATTACTACTATTTTATTTCATTATCTAGCTTGCCTCAAAGACTAGTTTATGTGGTGTGATGGCTTTAGGGTACTTTGGATGGGACACAGATATAAGAAACCTTTTAAATGTTATTTCTTTTCAATTAAATTACTTGGAAGTCTATTTTATAAGCTTAGGTGGGATTTTAATTTACTTCAGCATATTAAATCAGGAAATAATAATAATAACAATAATAATTTACTATTGTTTCAGCTTTCCACTATAACTTTATTCTACTGGACAACCTTTAATTTAGATATAAAACATTCAAAAATCAGGATTCTATTGGATAACTAATTGGGTATAATTGCTAATACAGAGTTATTAAAGTCAGATCCTTCCTGGGGGTCTCTACAAGAGCAGTTATTCCTGAATGCTGTATCTAAACCAAACAGTTTATACCAGTAAAACTCTTTGAAAGCTGAATTTATTACAGTCTCTCCCAGCCCACATGTGATCAAACTAACTAACTAAATTTCCCCAATGCCAATAATTGTATATTCTGACATGATTTACAGTGTTTTATTAGTGCACTTACTGTCACTGCCTTTGGGAGAAATGTCCCTGCAAACACAGCACTACTTACAGGGAAACACAAATTATAATACAGATTTTAAGCCTGGCTTTAAATCTGTCTCTCTGAAATAGCACCTGTACAAATATTTGCAAAAAGAGATTTACAGGAGGGGGAAAAAATAAAAGGCATTTTCTTCAAGGCTTAAATTTGCTGTTGGGTTAATTTGGGAACATTTAAGTTAGGAGGAGCACAAGCTGACAAATACACCTGAATCCACGCTGAACTAAAATTGTCAACTGTCAAAAATGGGGAGAAAAATAATTTATTTTAAGTCAGTGCTTGAATTTCCTTTAAAATCAGCATCTTAATTCCTCCTGTGAAGATCCTGTTTTGTTCAAGTGTCTGAACCGGTGGTTTGGAAGCCCTAAATGAAGCTCACACAGATTTCTAGCATCACTGCTTTTTAAATAAAAAGCACAAGTTCCAGTTAAAAATTTTACTAAATTGGGGCTTTTATAAGGTATATAGGTATTAAATAAATCAATATTTAGGCAAATCTGGAGAGAAGGAGTTACTGTGTGATGAACACCTGAAAATTTAAACTTTTGCAATAGATTTCCTCTCTTAAAATGAGAGTTTATTCCACTGACACATTATTGCACCCGAGATTTTTGAATGCTTGTACTCATGCATAGAAACTCATTGTGACAAATTATTTTATGTGGGAAGAATCTGCATAAGTTTATGAACAAATAGGATATATTTTCCAAAATTGTTTCTATCCACATTTAAGAAATACTTTGAAATAATACATTTCTCTTTAAAATTATGAAAGAATATAATAAACTACTATGGGAAAGAAACTGGGAAAGATCATTATGGGAAGCACTAATATTTTTAAACAAAATCTCTATTTCCTGTAATAAAAGTTCATCTTGAAAAGCAGCTTTTCAATAGGCACAGAAAGGCTCCAAAGCCAGGAAAGATGACTGGGAAGCAAATGACACAATGATACATCAAAATTATGTCAGTTTTTAAATGTAAATTAATGCTTTGCAGTCCATACCTGAGACTGGACATGGTCTGGGTCTGTGTAAGATTTCCCAATTCCAAAGGATTAAAAATCACCCACAAGGATAATCCAGTCCAACTCCTGGCCCTGCCCAGGACAATCCCAAGAAATCTCACCATATGCCTGATCTGGGAGGAAAATTCTTAGTCAGTAAATCCAGAGAGTTTTGCAATCAACTTCAGTAGATCAATTTTAATCCTAAGGGTGACCTTAAGAGGGATTTTGCATCACCCAGTCAGTCCTTTTGCACACCTGAGTCAGCCATTTATACACTTGTTTTTTAGGACCAAGGAAAGATTCCACTGGATTCAGCAAATGAAATCAATCTAAATTAAAGTATAGAGTACATACTTTACCTGAGCACTTAAAAACACGGGAGGAAAGCTATTTGAGGTGCTGCTTCCTTGGAAACAACTTCTACTTGATCCATGAATCACAGAATCACAGGATGGTTGGGGTTGGAAGGGACTTTAAGTCCCACCCCCTGCCATGGCCAGGGACACCTTCCACTGTCCCAGGCTGTTCAAAGCCCCGTCCAAGCTGGCCTTGGACACCTCCAGGGATGGGGCAGCCACAGCTTCTGTGGGCAACCTGTGCCAGGGCCTCCCCACCCTCACAGCCAACAATTCCTTCCCAATATCCCATCTAAGCCTGCCCTCTGTTACTTTGAAGCCATTGCCCCTTGTCCTGTCCCTCCAGGCTCCTGTAAATAGTCTCTCTCCCATCTTTCCTGTCAGGCTCCCTTCAGGCTTTGGAAGGACAAGGTTACTATAAAAATCTCAACTAGAAAATACTGTGCTCAATAATTCCTTCTCAAGATCTTCCTGACTGGGAGAGTTTTTCTTTCTTTGTGTCCACCCAACTGGAAAGAAGTCACAGCACAGATCTTTTGTTCAAAGTTTATGGACAGTTTGAGTGTGACATTCAGGGAAACACTGGAACAGTTTTTCATGCAATGGAAACAGGTGAAAGAATAAAATGATTATTTATGGAAAGAACTTCCTTGGCAAAGTCTCAACTCGATTAATAACTCAGTAATTCCCCTACTTTGTGCAAAGCAGCACAGAAAATGTATAAAAGTCATTAGAACAAAGCTCTTATGAAAGGATCTAAATTACAACCTAATCCTTTAATACCTCAGATGAAGAACACTCACAGTGAAGTTCAATTGCTTGAAAAATTCTCAATTGAACAATTTCTGCATTGAATAATTTCTGTATTAGGCAAAGCATTGCTTGGATTTGATATATATGCCCTAAACAGAACAAACATGTCTTTGATCTGCCTTAGTTTATACTGTTTAAATAACCCACTGAAATAAATATATTTCATGAACAGTTTATAATTCAAGTGTGTTTTTTTTCACTAAAAGCTGAGTTTCTAAAACCAGAATCATCTTTCTCACAAGATAAAGAAGAACAAGGTCTTTATGGTATTTCTTTTCAATGTTTAGAAGCAAAAAAACAAAAACAAAACACTTTACCATCAGTGCAGTATAAGAACATCCATATGTTCACTGTAGAAATTGTGCAGAGCTGTAGTAATCAATAATTACAGTTAGTAATACTTATTTCTATTAAAAATTATTAATTAATAACTGCTTAATACTTGAGAGTCTTCTATTTTCTGAAACCACCCCAAGGCATCTGTCTGTCCTCACACCAAGCTAACTTCAAGCTGTGCATCTTGCGAGCGGCTAAAAGGACAAGATCCAATCACACAAAACATTTTATCAGCTCACCTCGAATTATTTTAAAAAGTTAAAATTGATAGCTTTTACATGGAAAATTCAAATCATAGAATTGTTAAGTTTGGAAAAGACCTCCAAGATCACCAAGTCCCAGTGTCAACCAGCACCACCAGCAAGTTCACCACTAACCCATGTCCTCAAGTGCCACATGCACACGTGTTCTGAACTCTTCCAGGGATGGGGACTCCCTGGGCAGCCCATTCCAACCACTTTCCTGAAAATATTTTCCCTAATCTCCAATCTAAATATCTCCTGGCACAATTTGAGGCCGTTTCCTATCATTTGCAAATGTTATAACAGTGCACAGGAGGGACATGCAGAGTACAAGTTCTTCCAAACAACTGTAGAAACAATAATCCTAAAATTACCTACAGTGAAAAGGTGCCTCCCAGATGGGAGGTGTTGGGTGTACAGGGCCAAAGGAGTCCAACAGAAATATTGCTTCATTAAATCCTACTTGACAAATAAAGCTTGACATGAGGATTGTAATCTCTGAGCACGGTTACTCCTGGTTTACTCAAACCTCCCTCCTTGTTACAGCAGCGGGGCCTTCTTGGTTATTTTTAGCAAGATGTCCAATATAAAGCTTGTGGAAATGAATTTAAAAATTGTTGTTAACTACAGTGAAC